GGCGGCGGCGGGCGGGCGACGCGACGTCGCGATATTGGCAGCCCAGGAGGCCGCCCGCGCGGCGCGGCGCGACACGCGGCGCGGCGCGAACGGAAGCGCGTGCTTTGCTCAGAAGTTCCGCCCCTCACGTCCACATGTCCCAATGGTGCGTATGGTGTGGGAACATCGAAACTATGTTTTAATAGCTCTCTAACAATTACTGTATGTTACGGCTGCTCTTCTAGAATATATTTTATAAACGGCTAAAGTGATGCAGACAGACGATTTCAACCAATCTGTGATTTTGATGAAATTTTAGTTGTTAATAAAAGTTATATTATTTTATTTAAATTACTTACCATTTTTTTCAGTGTATTGTTAGGGGGCGCACCTTTATTAGCGTATCCTATAAAGAAATTCTTCTTGTTTTGTTTAGTGTATGCGCCATATTTCATCTCATAATAATATAACATATTGACATTTTCAAAAGAGAATTAGTTTTCGAAAATCTACTTTTTACTTCTCGACTTAGAACCTCAAAAGTGTTAAATTAATCTGCAGCTTGACAGCATATTATACTTTCTTTCATTCGAGGATTTTCTAATCAGAAATAATTCACCAAGGACAAAGGACCCGTTTTTAGAAAGAATCCTTCGCAGTATTCTAAGCGCAGCTCCAAATTGCGAGTACTTGTAATTTCTCGATTCACATTTCGTGGAGATATCGTTGTTACCTTTAATCTTTTTACTTCCTGCATTTGTAGGCTGAAAATGTAGTTTAATTAATTTGATGAATTGGAAACCATTGCCAAATTAAGTCAACATTTCAGTCAGATTAGTGATTCAGTCAATTAGATATGCGAAAAAATCGATATGATCTCGAGGAACCCGAACAGCGAAATGGTTAAGTTCGCACGAATGTACCCGAATTTAGAGAGGTCAAGAATTCGATTGCAAAATAATTTCTCCTCATTAAAGAATATAGTGTTGACTTTTCTTGCTAAATACGAATATGCTTTTAAACTGGCAAGAGTGAGTTCTGAGTGCTTATCGATAGCGCGTTCTACCAACTTAAGGTAAATGTTTACACCAAAGATGTGAGAAATATACATATCTCGAACTGAGTAACCATTTCTATTACATGTTCAATGGCTTCAGTACCAGTTTTTGTTTCGTTGCATGCTTTCCTCATTCCGTTACTATTATCTCCCTCCCTCCCTCCCTCTTCTTCTCTCAATCGCTCTCTCAGAGGGAGAGAGAGACAGAGAGAGTGAAAGAAAGAATGAAAGAGAGATAGGAGAGGGGGAGGAGAGAGAGGAGAGGGGGAGGAAAGAGAGAGAGGAGAGGGGGAGGAAAGAGAGAGAGGAGAGGAGGAGGAAAGAGAGAGGCGAGGAGGAGGAAAGAGAGAGGAGAGGGGGAGGAAAGAGAGAGGAGAGGGGGAGGAACGAGAGAGAGGAGAGGGGGAGGAAAGAGAAAGAGAAGAGGAGGAGGAAAGAGAGATAGGAGAGGGGGAGGAAAGAGAGAGGGGGAGAGAGAGCACCGTTCCCGCTGACTTTAGAACCTTTCAAACTTGGCCTGTCCGGCCCTTGTTCCCGCCCGACTCCAGCGCGTCGCTCGTGCCGCTATGCAAATGCCGGCGCCGCGCCGCCCGCCCAGCGCCGCCCGCCGCTGCGCCACTCGGGCGTATTCCGTGCGCGTCAAGCGACGTCGAGTGCCCGGCGGCGCCTCGCCCCCCGGACACGCCAGCGCCGCCGGCGGCGGCTTTGACGTCACGCCACGTCCAGCAGGGCCGCGCGCCGCGTTCTTTTTTTTTCTTTTCTTTTTTTTCTTATC